AAAGGTAAATACAACTTGAAGAATAGTAAAATGTAATTTTAAATTTAGCAATTTTGAATGAATTAACTTTTGCATTTTTTTCCAAAAGGTATTGCTCTTTCTATGATTTTTTCGAGGATTGGCAAAGGATCTATATAACCTTGTTATAGTTTGTTGGTATGATATTATGCTAAATAAGCCAAAAAAGTACAGTTATCTTTATCTATACTATACCAAAGAGTATAATATAATTCTAATAGAATTTATAAAACAAGAGGTACATGTTGTGCTGAGATTTGACAAAAAAAAATCTTTTTTTGTTAAATAAATATATGTTTTGAAAAACTAATAAGCAAATAATTTTAAAGTCAAATTTGCACCTGTAGTAAACTTCAAAGAAAAAAAATAAATAATAAGGTATATAATCAATCTTTTATCATTTATCTATTTAATTTCTGTCCAAAGAACTGTAATGATCTGTAATTATGCTAATCATTACAGTTTCTTCAGGTTACACTTCTCCAAAATTTCTATTTTCAGAGTTTTATGCAAATTTTGGATTAGTATAATCAAAAAATCAGTGACAATCAGCATATTTACTGATCATTGCTGATCTGATATCTATTAAATTTACTGATGTAGATATATGAAATTTTACATGAATATAGTATATTACATATGCTAATCATATTAAACTTCTTCAGATAAAGTATATAGCAAAAATACTCATGCTGCTTATACAACAATTTTTTCATCAAAAAAATATCTCTTTCTTTACATAAATAATATGAAATTATTTTTTTAGTTATCTATCTGAAAGATTTCAAGCTCTTAATGTGTGAAACAGCAAAGCAGGTTTACTGTAATAAAAAAATAATCTGAGAATAGGTAAAAAGGTGGCAAAAAAACAAAATCTAAGTAATAAATCAAGATCAGATTATCAAAGAGCTACTATTAAAAGACAAGACAAATGGATTTTGAAGCTGACAAAAAAGAATATAGATATTACTACTTCAGAAATCCACTATAAATTTCTAAAGCAAAACATAAATATTTATATACATACTATTCAATAGCATCTTGATGAAAATGAAGCTCATTATTATAAAAAACTTATAAAGTCTTTGCTTGAAGTAAAGTATCAAAAAAAATATCTCTCATAGGTAAAGAAGCATAAGAATTTCAACTGAAATTCTGTAATATTTACTGATAAGAGTACTTTTTACTTGAATCAACAATTAAAAAAGACTTGACAATTCATTAGAACAAGAAAAATAATCCATTCTATCAAGCATTTATTGAAGATTTATATATGAGACTGTTTTTCTTTTTTAGGTTTTGAAAGATTGATATACTTCACACATAATTTTAATATACAATATATGATTACATTATATGAAATAGCTCTTCTGTCTTCTGCTAAGAATCTTTTTAGTGAAGATTATGATAGTTAAATTCTGCAGAAAGATAATGACCTGAAATACTGATCAAAAATTGCAAAGATATGAAAAGAAGAAAATAATATCAAAGTTTTCCTCTGACTATCAATATCATCTGATCAAAATCTGATTGAAAATATCTGGAGGCTTATAAAAATGAATCTGGTAAAAAAAATTAGAACATTTAGGGATTTAAAGGGTGAAATAATACAGGAATAAAATTGATTATCTAAAAAGTATACAGCTAATTTGATAAAGAGTATGAGACATCATGTGAAGATCTTAATTAAAGCTAAGGGTGATTATATCATGCATTAATTTTTATGTAATATCATGTATTTTTAAATAAAAAAAACTTTTTTTTCTTATTATATCTCTATATCGAGTTAGAGATGTGGGAAAACTTTTGTCAGGCATTGTACTATTCATTAAATTATTTTAAATAATAATACTAATATTTTTAATATAGTCCAAATCTATAATTTCTCTTTTAATATTAATTTATTGTTTTGCAAGAGAAGAATAAGATATTACTTAATATATAACTTTTATAAAAATTTTTATGGCAATATAACTATCTACTAGAATAACTTAATAAGAGAGAATTCTAATTGATTCTTTTTCAGTATAATAAATATTATAATCAATATCTGTTAGATGAGCCTTTCTGGTATCTTTTCTTTATTTTAATTATTATAAACTTTAATTAATAGCTATTATCATTTTTAATAGATTATTCTTTTCAATATTTATTAAATTATTGTGAAGTTCATTTAATATTTAATAGATAATATCAAATTTCTCTTGAATTTCAGTCAATTCAATTTGAGAAAGAGAGTTTGAAATATATATTATTTCTTCTTTACTACTTGATTCTTCAACTATTAACTCTTCTTTGTCTATCATTTCTAAGATTATAGAATATTTTTCTTTATTCATTTTAATTGAGAGTTCAGATTGTACACAATTATTACATTTTTCATTATCACCAGGAATTAAATATTCTTAACAGAGCTGACATTAATATAATTCAAGCAAGCAAGTTGTTATCTTCTAGCAAAACTTAGTTATTAATATATGTATTGGAATATCTCAACAGCAGAGGCTTTTACAGAACCCTTATATTTGATTTCATAAACAAAATCTTCTTCATACATAAATCAAGATAAGATTGCTTTTCCAATTTTCTTAAAAACATGTACTAAAATAATGAATTTTGATTGCAGTTAAGATAATAAATGTACGCGTAAATACATGAAGCTAAAGCCATTTTTGTTATAAATTAATATCTAGCTCTATGATTTTATTGTAAGTTACTCAGGCATATCCTCATTTCTTTTTGATTTCGTGTGATATATAATAATATCAAATTGGGTTATTTTATTATTTATAAAAATCAATAAAAAAGGGATATTAATTTCTAAGTAACATTTCTTTGATCTTCTATATTCGAATGGCATATGAATGAATATTATGATACGCATTGTTATATCTGATAATACAAAATAATTAGCATATAAAGCATTATTAGAAACTCATTTGTTTGTTTAGTATAAACATCATGTTCCCGGTCACCTTTTGTGTCCAGAAGAATGTTTATAATGTACAAGTTAATATCGTAAAACATATAGATATACATTCTTTTCTAAATGACATTATTTCTAACAATTTTACTATAAAAAGATGTATTAATACATTTTATAAATAGCGATAGCGACAGCATTACGATGATGATCAGGAAATCTATAATGTACACGTAGTACAGTACATGCATTCAAAAAGATATCGATATAAATAAAATTGATATTCTTTCATAAATTTGAAACCATGTTATCTTATATTTCAATACCTCTGAACCTTATACCAATTTTTATACTTTGCAAAAGTGTATCTCAAATCTATAAACCCGAAATCAATTTCACGAGTCCGACTCTTCTTCCTCAATTCTTTTTATGCATAACTGCGTTGGTTCGTCATATCTCTTCAGCTTTACAACAAATAGTAAATTTAACTCAAAAAAGATCTGACACTCCATTATTCACCACAGAGAAAATTTTTATTATCTTACTTCAAATATTCACTATTTTTATATTTTTTTATCTGCGGTACACGTTATCGAAAAATGAAGAAGAAAAATATAAATTGCTTATTTTAACGTTCCTTTGGGGTAAAACGTTTATTGATCAGTTTTTTGATATGGCTACAAAGCTTTCACATTGCCAAATATCAGTTGAAGAGAATTTAATAAATCAGTTATTTTATTTTTTGCCAACTATAATTACGGCTGTCCTTATAGCGTCCTTTGCAAGTGAGTTGAAAATTACAATATAATTTTTATAAAATTGATTATTATCGAGATATTTTAATTTATACATTCATAATCTATATTATTCTCAAAGCTTGCTTAATCAAATTATTAATTCGCGATTCGTACGAGCAGTCGCAAAAACAAAACCAACCTACAATTTTAAACCATGTTTTTCGCATTACAGTGCTCATTTTAGGCTATTTCTTAATTATTTTATTCACATTATCATTACAAATTGCAACCGTTATTTTAAAAACATCTAATTTTACGAAAATCATAATCCTGCAATCTTATGATCTCATGACGTAAGTTTTTATTTCTTTTAATAATGCAATTAAAAAATAATGAAAAGATTATATTAATTTAATCTCATTATGCTCTCTAGTGGAACACTTTTATTCGGTTTTACACATTTTATGTCGTTTGAAAAGGTGTTAGATGAAGAGAAAACAGAAGTTGATGATCAAGTATCTAATTTTTTACAGAAAAACTGGAAGGAAGCTATTTTATCAAATTTACCACAAATTTTTACGCATTCTATATAGAAAGCTTATTTACTATAATCTTTCTAAATATTTGCTGAGTCGAGATTGTATGATTCTAAAAGAAATATGTATTATAACCATAATTTACAAAATCAAACTAATTTTATCTCCCCTAACTAATATACCTAGTTTAGATCTCTCTGCAAGATTATTTTATGTTTATCTGACAATTTATAAATAATTCCTAGTTATTAGCTTTAAATTGAGTATAGCAACTAAATGTGTTTACTCAATATTTGAAGCGCTAGATTTTTTGTGAAACATTCCATGTCCGCTTTCATAAGTGAGCTATTGTATCTGCAAGCGAGGAGCAGCCATCCCTTTCATGAACCAAAATCAAAAGATCCTTCTTTTGGCCAAATCAATAAATTTATTCAATGAATAAAAGAACAAAGTAACAAATGCTTTAATCTATTATTACACAGCAGCCGATATGGATTTACAAAATTATGCGATAAAATCCAACATTGTTGCTATTCATGTAAAGGTTCAACAAAATTATCAGCGGATTTTCATTATTCATATTCTGCTATGCTTAATTATAAATATACATGTAGTTAAAAGTTGCGATCAAATCAAAAAAATTATTTATATATTACATGACAGTTTATTAAACAAAATAAAATATACTCTCTCGCTTTATCTTCTCTAAATGCATATTCTGAACTTGGTTCCTTTACATAATACTTATAATAATTTGACCTCATAAAAAGCATTAATGCATACTTTCTAGTATGCATTTATAGGCGTTTGACTCTAATAACAACAGGATTTCAAAGAACTTAACAATAAATATATATAAAATTCAAATTGTAAGGAAAAACAATTTCACATAAGTATTTCTTGCGAAATTCTCGTGATCTATGATGAATGTATCATGTAATTTTTAAGGACAAATCAATTAAATCGCAAAAAATGAAATATCAATAGTTAAAATTATATCAGCACAAAAAATGTATAGTAATTTTCGCAAAGAACTTTTTTTAGAATGCAAAAAATAAAATTTTGAGACAAAAGCTATTTTTCAAAAACATTTGTTTTCATTCTGGATCCATAAAACACGTTGAGTTCATATGATAAAAAGATACAGTTTTTATTATAAAAATTATTATCTAATAACATATTGATTTTGCAAGCTAATTTTCTGAACATAAAGTGAAATATTATATTAAGATTTTTATTATATGATCTTGTTTCTAAATGTTAAAAGAATACATATATATAAGCATTTATATAATTGTTTAATTATTTATAATCAAAATTAATTGCCATTTTTTCACACATCACTGTGTATGTGGGATGTGGGTATTAAATCTGATACCTTCCATTAAATAGCATGCATGCATCCAGTAATGAGCATTATCTTATGTTATCAGCCCAGCGACATTGTCAAAGTAGATATTTTGTTGAACAACCAATTAATTCCTGATTTATCTTTTTTAGTATTTCTTATGAGGAGAGATTGAAGTATGTAGAAGTTTTGGAAAGAGCTCTGGAATACACAAATCACCGACATTTACTTGCATATCGATATACATTACTGAATAGTAAACACGATCAGCATTGTGTAAATGACAAACTAGTTTCATAAATCATAAATTTTTTCCTAAATGCTATTATTTCTAAAAATATAAGTCAGTTAAATGTAAATATACATTCCTTCCATTATCACATTTAAGAATGAATACACTTGATCTTTACATATTTAAATGAACATTCGTTTAATAAAATGCGCAAAAGATTACCAATACGTATTCAATGTTGAATTTCCAATGCGATTATTGTAGTAATTCTAATAAATTTACTTGTTTCCTATTGACTTCACCTTATTTTTTCAATTTCCTTAAATACATATAGTTTTTTATTTTTTATACCATTATTTTATTTCTATAAAAGATGTACATATATTTAACAATCTACAATGATCTTAACTGGTTGACTTTATTAAAAGCTCGTGATTCGAAGTCTAACAAAAGATTTTTCTATCATAGAAATCACTACGTTAATTTTAGATAATACATGTATCATAATTATCGGCAAATTGTATCTCCGGTCTTATCCAAAAACTATTATAAAAAGGGTGATAAGTGCTCTACTATTTTCTGAGCATTGCAATAAATGTATGATTTAAAGAATTTAAGCAACTATAGTTGATATCCTCCAATATATTTAATATGTCATCCCCTATTTATATAGTTCTAAATTCTATATCAATTATCACACTTTTCAAATGTGTGGGCAAAGCCAATTTCGCGGAAGAGAATCTTGTTGAATTCTTTTTATTTATAACTGCATTGACTCGTCATTTCACTTCGATTTTGCAACAAATAGAAAGTTTAAGTCAAAAAAGATCTGGATCCTCACTACTCGCTACAGACAAAATTATTACAATAATACTTGAAATTTTAATTATTATTATATCTTATTATCTGTGGGATGCGTTATCAGCAAACAAAGGAAAACAATCGGAATTCCAAATTACAACACTTCTTTGGGTTGTAGCTTTTATTGAGCAGTTCCTTATTATGATTACAAACCTTTTATATTACGAAACATTGGGTGAAAATAATTTAAATCTGCTCCTTTATTTTTTGCCAACTATAAGTACGTCCGTCCTTACAATAGCCTTTGCAAGTGAGTGGTAAATTATGAGTCAATATTTCTAATAAGTAGCTATTTATAATTGTGCATGTATTTTAATTTCAAAGGTTATTCAATCAAAGTATTGATTTGCAATTCACAAAATCGAGCTGAAAAATTACGCCATGTAATTCGTCTGACAGTGTTCAATCTCAGCTATTTTTTAATTATTTTATTCACATTGTCATTACAATTCGCAAGTGTTATGGAGAAAACATCCAAATTGACGAAAATTGCAATCTTACAATCTTCTGATCTCATGGTGTAAGTTTTATTCATTTTAATTATAAGTATTAAAAAATAATGAATATATTATATTAATTTAATCCCTCATTAAATTTCTAGAGGAATAACATTATTCGGCACTACATATTTTATGACGCCCACAATAAATTATAAAGAAAAGACATTGGATGAAGAGAAAGCAAATTTGTTTTTCATATACATGCATAAAATTACCTGAAAGTCTTTTGCTCAATCAAGATGGTTTGATCATAAAAAATATGAAGCATATTTTAAACATTCCATACAATTCGAAACTACATAATTTTGAAAATGAAACGAATGGATGTTGATTTATTTTCTATAGAAAAGTAATTTATCTCCCCTTTTATCCTAATAATAAATTTTAAATTAAAGTTTAGTTTATATAAATTGTATTATATATCGGTCATTAAATAATATTAACAGCTTATTAAGCTACACAAGAGCGAAGACAGTACTTATTGGAAAATGTAGTAATACTATTCTAGAAGTATCTATGTTTGTTTTCTTTTCTTCATTATTTAATAACAGGTAGACCAATGTTATTTGAAAATATGAAATTATACAAAAATTATGTGGACATTTTCAGGCATAAATGTCTTACAACCGTGATACAAATTACCAATATATCGATATATAGTAATGATTTTTACCCATAACTTGATTTGTATGGTAATAATTTTTGTTCATAACCTGCTTTGTATAGTAATGATCCGTAAAATTAACCAATAACGTACCAATAACGATAACGATAATATTGGTTAATTTTACGGATCATTACTATACAAAGCAAGTTATGAACATCATCAGTTATAGAGCGATTGATCGAGTATTAGAGTGGTTACATAGATTTATTTTACCAAAGAAATGTGCACTTCCAATCAATATTTATAGAATAAAGAAGATAACTATTTATTATAATATAAGTAAAAACCAAAAGCATCATACACAAACAGCACAACGGTCACTAAAAATTACACAAGATTCCGTAACATTAAATGTTAGTTACGAAACTCAAGTCTTTACTTTCGGTGGATTTTTTTATGTTGATAAATATTGAATAATAGCTGGTAATTCCGGATGCGTAGGGTGGGGAACACATCAGTAAATCCAATAGGATAACAATATAACAAACAACTATTTTTTCGAATGTCATATAATGATGATAAAAAGTACGTGACCAATCTGAAGAGTTGATCAAAAAGCTTTGCTATGTGGATTTTATGTACATAGTGAAACTTGATATAGGCAATTATCCGTACAATTAGTGAAATCTGAATCTGCTATATCAAGAATTATTTATTATGATTTGTATTCCATTACGTATATTGAGTTTTTATTAGTTTACATTATATCAAATATTTATTATATTGAGTTTCACTATTTTATTTTAAAAATTGTTGCCAAGCTTTTGAAGAAATAATATTTTATGTATTCTCACAAACACCTACAATTTTACAGCTGTGAGTCGGTACGGCTGATTCAGAATGAGTTCTTTGAAGATTAACGACTTGGATTATAATTCCTTTTGAATTAAAGAATCCAGTAAATAAAGGCACATTTCTTTGGACATTATCTTATTTGAAAATGACTTGAAGGATACTCTGATATCTGAGTAAGATTTTTTTGGTCACATTATATTTTTGTTCCCATAAAACACATCCACCACATCTTCATGAGTCACATGATTCAAATTATTGTTTTGAGTTATTGAATGTAAGTCGCATTACTTCTACTGTAACATTGCACATATCAGGTGTATCTTTTTTCCGTTCTTTGCAATTGTCACAATTATAAAATTCAGAGATTTGAGGATCAATGGGCCAAAGAAAAGAATAATATATAAGTTGTTGATGACATTCATATATTGCATCCGCATATAGCATCATTACCATTATTTTTGTTTTTTTTATTCACTGTAACCGAATGGGATAAGTTTTGCAAATCTGTAAGATTAGAAATATTATAGGATAAATTAATAAAATAGTATACATTGATCATGCAGTTATATTAATATTAAAATTTTACCTTTCTTGCCTCCACTCAAATTGTCAATAATGTACAGATATCACTTCATGAGTAAAATAATATTGCCT